AACGAATTAAAATAGCATTAAATATTGAGAATACAGGATGTTTATCTATACTATAATAATATAAAGAGAAAAAAAATTTGAGACTTTTGGATTGTATTGAAATAACTCAAAAAATACTAGACCGATTTGAAAGAATCTTGCACCATTAAAAAGCTATGTTCTCACTGAGTAACATAGGTTATGTTTTTAATGTTTTTTTTTAATTTTATGATGTAGAATTCGCTAGCAACAGCTAGTGTTTTATAAAAGTTACTTGTATGTATAGTAAAACCTTCATTTTATAAACCTGGCCATTTGTACTTTATAGGTATAGCCAATTACACATCATATAGAAGAAAGGAAGTCATTAAACATACTTAACAAATTTATGTTAATTTACATTCAAAACAAAATAAATGTACAATTCAAAGAATGCGTAGTCAACGAGAAATAACTTGTTGAATTCTTCCGCTTTGCTAGCTCTAATCCACTCCTACACTCATGTAATATTTTAAATTTAAACGCGAGCAATAAATAAATAGACGTCTTAGATACTTTACTAATTACGAAACGTATTACGGCTAATGTAATATTTTTAATTTGATAGAAATATGCAATCGTAAGGTCAAGTAATGTATCTACGAAGTTACTTAATCTTTGTGTGATTGATTCTAACCGAAGAAGTAATTGTGTGATACTATCCAATACTTATTTAATTTGGCCTCTAGTTATTAAAAAATGTAATAAATCCGATTGACTAAAGCTCTGTTTCATTTCGGAAAATAATACTTATTAAATGTCAGACATCAAAATTGTTTAAAATCTAGTATTTTAGACTGATCAGGACATCATAGAATAAGCAATACAGACATACCCTTAACACTACATACTACGCTGTCTACATATTGGAAGTAAGTCTCAATAGTTAGGAACATTTAATGCGTCTGTCTACCCCATTAAGGGTAATTATAGTAAGAGTTTGTAATAATTTCAAATACATTACGGGAACGTAGCCAATCGACACTATATCATAAACCGAATACCAGGCAGTCTGAGATTATACGACAGTTCTGATTTGATTATTCCAGATCTAAATATATTTAACACTTCGCATTGGCACATTTCGTGATGGAATTGTGTCAAGGAAACGAGCATCAAACTACCCTAAATATTTTGAAAAAAGAATACTATTTAATACTATTGTTTGATTCCTAAAATTATGTCAAATGGTCTAAATAATAGAGGTAAAAGTTGACAACAAAGGGACCTAAAGTAGTCGCAATAAAACGGTATACTTTGACAACTGTCAGTGCAAATTATGAATGCAGTGTAAAAATAACTCAATAAATATTGGTAATGAAAATAACGATACGATTCTCATTATGCAGATGAGCTAAAATTTGTTGCCAAGATCTCTATAAAGGCGATAATCTTTACTCATGTAAATGTGTTTTTGACAACACAGACTAAGACGGTAATAACTTGCTATATGAAATCCATTGCTATGAATTATAACCAAATAAAGATCGCCAAGTATCTGTTATAAAAGTGTATTTACGGATAATATTGAGGCCAATGTTTACAAATGAGAATACAGTTTGTTACTGTGTTAAGCGTCTATCACTTATATTTGAAGCTGAACACACTTGAAACCTCATCTTAATTTATTCTGCATTGTATGTGTATTTCTGAACATTTAAGGGTTTTTGTTTCCAATGTAGACTTTAAGATCCTAAAAAGTGGCTAAAACACATGGTATTTTGATGTTCTCGTTTCAATTATTTAACCATCGAAGCCGGTCCAGTTAAAAAGAAACAAATACAACAAAGTTTAAAAATAAAAATGTAAACATGACGAAAGTATGCGCACTTATTATGATCATAATAAAACTTGAATAATCCACCGAGTTATGTGAAGACAAACATATTAAGTCGTAATTAACAAGGGCGTATCGCATTTTCTACTCAATGCGAACGACATAATCGTTGTTTCAACATAACCGAAGCTCGACAATAATATGATTAACAAACGACATCTAAATAAGCCACGATTAAGCACATTCCTCGAGTGATTGACATAATTCAATACATATAAATCTCTGCGATGAATCTTAACTCGTGGAGTAATCGCCGGGCAATTCCAGGAATGCGAAGCTGTATGACGCTTCTACATTACACTAGCGACCCGACCCGGTAGCACGAGTAGCAATTAGTTCAATCAAAT